CATTAAAAAAAAAAAATCTAATTCTTGGAAAGTCCACAATAACAGCCAGTCAAGATTCTCTTTGCAAGACAGGAGGAATCCAAAATTCAAACATTTGACACACGTCCATCTATTGGTGTTGGTGAGCAATTAACAACCTGCTCACTCAACCAGGACTTTGCAGAAAGAGGCTCGTATTTACATAAGTTGGGTATTGGAAATGGTTTCCCTATCAGTAACTTTGAAGACTCAGAATTCAGGCAGTAATCACTCTGTTCCTTCTAATAAGTGATCTGGTGAGAACTTATAGCTTTCCCTTATTGGCTTATTTTAATATAAAATTTTCTGCTGGTATTTCTTATGATTGGGGTTCAGTTTATTTCTTTTTGCAATGATTCTTGAGTTTTTTTTTTTTTTTTGTCTTTGTGACATCAGAAGGATTTGAACTAAAGAATTTGGAGCCTTGAAGATTTAAAATGTTGAGCATGATGTTGTTTCAAATTCCTCTGTATGGGTTATATGACGTTTTGTTTACTGCACATTTTGGGTTTATTTATCTTCTATGTCATTCAAAGTTACTGAGAACTTTGGCCCCCTTCCCCGCAATTTTTATTCGTGATAAACTGACTCAGTTACAGGTTTCTGCGTCTCCTCCTTTTCCTATTTTTTGATCTCTTGTTGGCATATTTGGATGTATTGTCCCCAAACTTGGTGCTCTTTTTCTAGGGAATTGCAATGGGAAGCTGTGTACTTGATTGCATATCCATGTTTCAATATCTACCCAAACCACACCCCCCCCCCCAAAAAAAAATGATTTTTTCTGTGGGCAATTATTTTATGTATTTGTTCAAGATATTTAGTAGATTGCTAGTTGCGAATAAGATTTATGTGACTGAAATATGGTATTTGAACAGCTCCTTGAGCTGTTCCTGGAATATCTGGCCTCCAAATTCCATTCACTCATACATACAAGTTGGAATGTTTGAAAAGTCAAACAATAGTTAAGGTTCTAAAATTTGGGGTTATTTCTTAGTATTCTGGCAAAGTTGTTTATTGGCCATGTTGTTTTAATTGCTACTGTGACTTAGCAGTCTATTGCCATTTAGTTTCTTTCCTGCTGTAATGATTCACAGTTGTTTCAAGAGCTCAGATTACTGCACCACCAGGATTTTCTGTTCGAAGCAGGGCACCACTACCAGGCTTCTTGACTCATGAGAGAGTGGAACTGGCTTCTGACTCCTTATCTGGTTGGTTGAGATTTATTTTTATTTTCCTTTGTATACCATTTTGAGGTTTTTTACTGTACTTGTTCTCCACTTGACAGGGAATTTCTTGCTTTATTCTTTTTCCTTGCTAAGAAATTCATGTCAGATGCCCATAGCTCAAAATATTGGTGTTGCAGGAGGCTTAGAATGTAATGATCCTGTTATTCTGGCAGTTGGTAAGGGGAGATTTGAAGGTGCACTAAATAACAACAGGCTGGACATGAGATCAAATTTTGCACAACAATTTAATTGCTTTGAAAACAAGGCTACACTTCAATTATTGATGCAACAATCACTCTCACAGCGGCAGAACCTTCAATTTTCTGAATTTGGGAATACTTTTTCTCAGCTTAGTGATTCTTATGGGCTCTCTTCAAGATTAGATCAATCACAAGCCAGTTATTTGTTCCCTTTTCCCCAGTTGTCTCCTCAACAGACTAGAAATGCAATCTTGTTAAACGGACAATGGGATGGGTGGAATCAGGTGTAGAGTAGATGCAGTCAGGGAGTGGCTGAGTTTCTGAGAAATGAAAGATTTGGACTTCACAAGTTTAATGCAGGATATGAGAAGTCAAAATATAGTATGCAAAATTCAGGTGATGTTTACTACAGAACATATCGAATGTGATATTTTCTATGGTCGGCCATAGTCCATCCAAGGCAGTAATGTATAGATGCAATTTTGTTGTACTGCTAAGAGTAATGGGACTGAATCGTGGCTCGTCTACTGGGTTGCCAATTGTGAAATCACCAGAATTTCTATCTGTAGCTGGTAATTTTTTTAGACTATCTCTTTGTTTTAACTCTTGGTGGTTCAAGACTTGGATTCTCTCCTCTTACTTTCCCCTCCTCCTACTCTCTTCTCACCTTCCCACTCTCAGATTTAATCTTCAACAGTTGAGATTTAATATTTTATAAAGCTATTATTATACTATTAAGTAACAAAAAATAAATTTAAATTGTTAAAATGTGAACTAAACAATTCAGAACAGTAGTGAAGAAAAAGTAAGAAATAATTCACTTTATAAAATATTTTTCTTTACTACAGTTGAGAACTTTCTTGTCACATTTTAACCATGTAAATTTATTTATTTATTTTTTTGTTATTTGATATTATAGTAATAGTTTTATGATAGATTAAATCTCAACTGTTGAATATTAAATATATTAATTATAAGGGTGGCGAAGTTAAGACAGATAGGGGGAGGAGAAGGTAAGAAGAGAGAAACCAAGTCTAATGGTTCCTATTTTCTGTTAGATGCGTGTAAATGTGTAATCCCTGGCCACTGAAAATTAACAGTAATATAGTTCTTTTGTTCCCAGTAATTAACCTAATAAGTCAAGAACATTATGATACTGGTCACTTTCTGGACCATGAACACTCATTTCACTTCTCCCCCTCTACTTGAGGTAGTGAGCTTGTGTTGGATTGTTAAGATATTAATCACAGATGTCAATGTTGATAAAAACGGCAGGCAGATTTTAGTTAGTATTTTCTCTCAATTACAGAGCTGGAAACTTGTGGTTGATTTCCAATCGTATAGATGGATCAATTGATTTCGATGGTATTTTTTTAACTTCCAGTATTAATCACCTAGGGAGTAGCGAGCAAAAGCATAAAACGTTTGGTGGAATTGATTCGAGGGAAATTGTTTTGGCAGCAGCTTCGTTCCTAAGTAGAGTTTGCTATTTATTATGTTGCTATGCAATGCTGCTGGGAAGAGTCACCGGATCTTGATATGAGCATTTCACTATTCAGCTATATATAGTTCAAACTTCAAACTGATGTCAGCTTTTCTTTTAAGTATTTTTAGCAGTTTTTTATTAATTCCTTGCTTTTCATGTTGGGCTGCTGTAACCCATGCCTTTCATTAATTCTATTGACGAATGTGTTTCTGATGCAGATGAGTGTCTATTAGGTGTGTTTTAACGTTCTGAGGTGCCCTATTCAACTCGTGGCTCGCTGGTGAGGGCATCAGCTTTCGCTTGTTGAAGGCTAATTTTATTCTTAAAGATGTAAAGAAATTCATAATTCAATTTGCGGTGCTGTAAATGATTTGCTCGAGTTTTTCTATCCTGAAATGCGGATTGGAGGGAAGCTTTGCCATGTGTTAGGTCTTGCGGGAGCTTGGTCCAGTCCTTACAAAGCCCAAAGTCATTATTAGCGAAACTGGAATTCGATCGTGGGATTACTTTCGGATGATTTTAGACCGATGGTTATGACCTGCAATAAAAGCCCACTAGACAAGAATAACACCAAGTGATCATATCACAGTTTATCCTATTCATAGTTCTGTGGAGTAGTAATGTTTGGGAGAGAGCACTTTTTTCTGGTGAATTAAAAGTCAAAGTTGTAAACAAACAACCAAATGTGGGCGCCTTCGGATTTGCATTATGCTCGCCATGGCCAAGACTATTTCAGTACTAATCAATCTCTACCAGTTATTTAAATTAATTTTTAAATATTTGTAATAGTATATTTATAAATATAAAAATTTAAAAAATTTAAAATTTTAATAAATACGTTTAATATCAGTACAGATTAATCTAACTATCCCCAATTTAATATTAAAAAAATTTGTTTTATAATTTGATTGTTTAAATGTATTTTTCTTGGTAAGTTTTTTTTATCTAGATAAACTTTTGACAGTTCAAATATAATTTAAATAACTTAATTTAATATTAAAAATTTATAAATTTTGTCAATTAACTATTTAAATATATTTTAAATAATCTATATTTAATATTAAATTTTTTATATTATTATTTTAATAAATATAACGTTAAAAATATTTAAAAATGAATGTTAAAAAATGGTGGAGATCATTTTAAGCTAAAATGCAGGGTCAGGATGGCTCCTAGCCCTCATCAATAGTGATAAGCGTCGAATGCGGATAGGGCGCCTTGATCATCATCTTTGTCCCAAAAAAAAAAAAATTAGAAAAATATCATTTAAAGATTTCTAAGTAGTTTTTATATCAAAAAATGAATAAAAAAAATACAAAATTTCACTGCACTCCCTTAATATCTATTTGAAAAATGAGATTTTTTGAGAAAAAAATCTAATTACGCTAAAGTTTAATCATTTAATGTGTTTTTAATTGCATAAGATTATTTATCAACACTCAAATGAATGTTTGCTTAGTCAAAATTAATACTTATACAATTAAATATATGCTATTAATTTTTACATTTGATTCATATCTGAATGGATTGTTAATACTTATAACTACTTGTTAAAATTTAAATGAATATTTATTTATACATCCATAAAATTTTAGGAATAATTAAGTCTTTTCTTATAAAAATCTTATTTTTTAGATTTCAAATCTTTAAAATCTTTCTTGAATAAAAAACCTGTTCAGTGGTCCTTAAACAATGATATTTCCCCAAAAATTTATTATATTAACAAACAATTTCCACTGTCCCCCAACAAAGACTCAAGTCGGGTTGTCTAATTTGCATCCACATGTTCGGGATTTTGAAATAAGCTGCACACCACCTCTGACATTTCCTCTTTTACATCACCAATCTTTTAGAGGGCCAAGGCTCATTTTGACAGCAGACAACACCCGCATGCTCATGTTTTCCCACTCGCATCTAACCCTTCATCATACCTTTTATTTCCCTCTCCCGTCCCACCAGGCATATTGTAACTTACGAGACTGGCACAGAACTCACGTTCTGCCACACACAGTGACTGATGTCAAACATTCTCCATTTTGAGGCTGATTTAACAAATCAAATGCCAACATGAAAGCTTAATGAAATAAGATTAGTTAATTCGTGGAGGAACGGAACGTAAGAAGAACTAGAGCACTGGAGCGGGAAATTAGCATCTTCAGAGAATGCCCAAACCAGTGCATAATTGTTTAGCCAGGAGTTACCAATCAGGAGTCGAATCTCAAAGTATACACGGATCGGTAACTGAATTATACAAGGAATTTAGAACGCAAACAGTTTTGAGGGGATTGCGTTTTTATCTATATTATAATTGTAGAGAGGCTGGGGCTAGCGGGGGGCGTGCGGGGACTTCATCTGGCAATAATGTTGACTTGTGTTGCTGCCAGCTGCACTTGATGGATCGAAACAGATATTACAGGGAATTGAGCTCAAACTCAAAGATTTTGTTGGACAGATGGAAGCCAAAGGAAAGGTAGCTGACATTGAGAATCCTGATGATGCTGCAGTAGAGAACAGTGGTACTGACGTCGCAGTAACCTGGCCAAGCGTTTGCCAACCCCATGGAGGCAGTCCTTGTGAATGATCTGTACTGATTCCATAAACCCTTTCCTGCCAATTTTTTCCAACAGAGACAGGTTACTACTAGCTAATGCATACGGAACGTCAAGTACAAATATATTATTCCAATAAGCTGTGGGAACTTTGCAATCAAACTGTTAGCACACGCCATAACTAATCTAAATTCTGAATTAGTAATATAAAGAGCACTAAAACAAGAATATCTATATCTTCAGAACATTCTTATGACCCGATCACTCGCAAGAAATGTTCTCATGTTCTCACGCACGTGCGCGCGCGCGCACACATATATATGCAACACATTTTACCTAAAGATCGAACTAATCACTATTAGCATTGACCGTTATGTCGATTAACGCTTTCTCCAATATAACATGACAGCACAAATGTTTCCGTCCACCAAACCACATATTGCTGTTAACCCGCACTCTAGAAGGGCTCTCAAGGTAGTAAAAATAATGCCGAGAATTCAACTGATCGAACCGAATAAAAGTTGCACCAAAAGCTCAGCACAAATATTCAAGATGTAGAACCTCTAAACATAAAAGTCAACTTTCATTCGTAGTGCCACTTCAAAAGAAAGCATTGTCAACAGTTCTAAGACCCTAGCGAGAAAATCAATGTCACAGTTGTTTATTGAGAAACAAGTATAATACTCTGATTGTGAATCTATATACCAGACAATGAAATTCACCTGATCGGGAAAGAAACTAGGATATATGCCATTCCACGCAGAAGGACGCTCCTCTGGATCAACTGGCCTTTTCAACGACGGATCACCATTGACGGAATCAATATTGATCTTCTGCTGATTAAGAGAACCCATCCTTATAATGACCTCAACGCTACAAATATGACTTTCTAAAGAGCAAAAGCGTTTCGCAAATATCAATTACGCCAACAAAGAAAGAGAAGGGGGATTCGGAATAGCTACAGGTAAATCTACTAAGTTCAGAAGAACCCCGCTTCCAGATAAAATTCAAATTCCCCTTCGCCTCCTCAATAGTGTTTTACCGCTAGCTCGGAGAGATTAAATAATACTATCAAACTTCTCACATATCGTTCAGTAAACCTAGAGTAAATGTTGGCCCAAAAAAAAAAACCAAGTAAATGATGTATAAAGCATAGTTTAATAATACCCTTGATCTTCTTCCAGTATGCATGTCGTAAGGGATAGATTGTGACTGATGGCTCCTATTCTCTTCCGGGCCACTGCTCGGTGTTGCAATGCCCAAATTGAGGTCAAGATTGTGACTGCCACCTGGTCAAAACATTTACAAATCCCATATCATGGGTGGAACATTTTTTATACCAAGACAATCAGTAGAAAATCGATCATAAAAGTAGAAGATATTTTGTTAATACCCTCAGTAATGACCTCAGGCTTCATCTCTCCTTCGTATGTTCTTAGTTCAAAGTTGGTGACTGCCTCTCTTCCGTTACATTTGATAGCTGCCTTATCATAAGCCCTGAGTTCCAGAAAATCCAGAGGGAGAGAAATGTTGGATAGAACCCTAATGAACTTATTAATTTAGGGTAATAAATTCAGTACAGGCAGAATGTAATTCATGTATCAATAGGACCTTGCAGCTTCTACTTCGCTGTCGAATAGCCCAAGATATATATACCTGCACGAAAGCATTGCAATCTCTATAACGAAACACCTTTGCCAATTGTCTCATTGAAACAGGCATCTTGGGTATGCATCTCCGTATTTGGAAAAGTGAGGGAAAAACATTGGGAACCAATTACCATTGCATACCAAATAGGTATTTAAATTTTTAGCGTCCTAAATTTCTAATCATAAAAACGCAGTAGATCACTACTTTAAGTTATTTAAAATATGTCCTCACTTTTTGCCAAGAAATTGTCCCATTCGAGCTTCCCAACGACCACACTTGTGCAGCGTTACTCCTCGGTATTTTGAACTCCCCCTTGAGAAACCAGTACTCTGGCGACGAAGTATGTGAACGAATTCCTCCTTGGTGAGATTTCTCATCTGCGTATCATTTACAAAATATTAAAATAACGAGAAGTCCAATCAAATGCACCCGGCTAGACTCTTAATATTTAAGTGCTTGTGTTTTCTGTCAAACCTGCTTAAGATCCTCCTCGTAATCATTGAGATTGAAATTGATGTCAGCATCAACTCCCCTAAACTTAATAGCAGCTCGATCGTAGGCTCTAAATCGGAAATTCTCAAGTCAATTGAGGAGTTCGATCATCCAGTTTTAAAAACAAAAAGGAAAGAAAGACCAATTCTGAAGCCAAGTTATGGCGAAGAAAATTTAAAGTTTTGCAAAATTCACCTGGCTGCGGCTTGAGCGGTATCAAATCCACCTACAAGCTCCAATGTCAAATATCGTCAAAACATGCTAAAAATAGCAAACCATAAAATATAATTGATTTAGTCAGGGCATTAAAAAGTCCATATCCATACCCAAATAGACTTGCTTCCCGCAATCCCTTCACCATCACCATATAATAAGACAGAAAATGGAAAAACAGGTCAGAATGAATTCAACCATGTACGATGAAAATCGTAATTCAAAGGCACATAGTTTCCTGTAAGTATATTTGATGGTCTCTGTAGCACAAACTAGATTTGACAAACTAACCGAATCGTCAAATTAGACGAGTATCAGTCATAAAGAGCAAGAACGTAAGAGAAACGTCGCAAACATGAAGACCATATAAGAAAGAAATTAATATGAAAAGCTAATTTTATATACAATTACCAACCAGATGTGCGATTCCCATCTTCCAGTCCTCCTGTAAAAGGTGACCCCTCTGTACTGCGAGCTCCGAGACCTGGGACCTCTTCTGCTTTTCTTCACTTGCTGCCGAGATTGTTGCTGAACCTGAACCATCTTCATCTCTCCGTTCCCACCCTGATGATCAAAGGAAAGACTCACCCAGCTCTTTCTCGACGGAAGGGCAGAGAAAGACTGACCCTGCCAATTCGCAGATTCGCCATCCACTCCTTTTGTTTCACTAAACAGAAATCGCTCCTTGGTCGCGACTTCTTTACCGCCTTCCTCCTTAAGGATCTCGAAATTAAAGGTGAAGGCGTCCCCACCACGTGTGGAGCAGGAGTCTTCATCTCCTCCATTGCTGGACCCATTAGCATAGACATTAGAGGAATTGGAAGTCCCGGATTTCGCCATTTTATTTCCGGAGGCTTCCGTTAGCTCGTCGGAGAACCTGACGAAGTCATCGTTACAAGCGGTATGAGTCGAATCGGCATTCAGATTAAGATCGAACATGGCGCTTGATCTTCGAGTTGAACCTGATTTTCGTATTCGCCGCTTTATTTCTGCAATTTAATGTTATCTAAGTAGTAAACGATATACTCCTCGACATCACCGATATTTTTCTTCCAGCAGATGAATTCGACCAAGAAAGTGGATCCGATCGAAAGCACATCCACATGTAATGTAAGCAAAAAGCCAAATAGCTTCTGACGCAGAGCAAAAGAGCCTCGAAACAGAATCAAAAGCTCCTTCAGTGCCTCCAAACACGAGGGAAAAGGTTGGAGAAGGAGGAAGCAGCTGAGAAGATAGGGCGCGGGCAGGAAGCTACCCGAGTGGCATTGGTCATATCACCGGCCGTAAAACGAAGGTCGGAGGAGAAAGCAGAGCCGAGCACAGGATTCCAACGGCACGTCGAGAGAGAGAGGGATGGGATCATGGGACGCGCGCAGGAACATAGGAGACCCCATAGGCAGCGAAGTCGGAATATATAAACATTGTCTCTGGGATGGAGAGAACCGGTTGGTTGGGTGACCGGTCGTTGATATTGTGAAACAGATTTTTGTGAATCGAAGTCTTGATGGTTTCATAGACAGAAACAGGCGTCACCACTAAACCTTTCTGTGCGAGTCTGTTCCGAAAATTTGTTTTGCAATGTTTAACCTGGTGTGTTTGAGAGCGTGATGGTTTGGTTTTCATTTGACGCATACGATGGCACTAGTGATTAGCGACGGGTTAAAGAAATGAGATTTAGTTAATTGGTGGAGGAAGCAGGGAAGCGGGATAGTCAGCTCAGCCGGGAAGAAGATTAGCTAATAGTTAATGCTAATATTTAATAAGCGTAAGCTGGTAAAGTTAAGAATTGAAGGGGCGATATCGTGCCACGTCGCGAAGTGACAGCTGGGGAGCACTCGGGGCTTCTCTGTGGACTAGGGAGGGGTATTTTGTTAAAACGAGAAAGGGAAGAAGTAGAATTCCCAAAGCGTCCTTCTCCTACATCCCCCACGTTAACTCATTTCCTCAACACGAGCAACTCGTGCTCATTCCCCGCAGCCCGCACCAATCCACCCACTTCGATGACAAATACAACTACAATTACATTTACGCCCTCTCCCTCCTAAAATTAGCGCACAGTTGGATGTTAGTTTATACTCGATGCATTTAAAATATTCAACTATTTATTAAATTTAATAAAAACATATCTAAAATTTAATTCATGCGTGCTTTTGAAAATTATTCCAATAGATCCATAGCCATTTTCATCTCTCTAAGGGCGCATTTGACTTGTGGGGAGGGAAGAAGTTTGATGTTATCTTATTTAGTTCATGAAATAAACAGAAAAAAAATAATTATGTATAGATAATATTACCCTCATTTTATCAATATTAAAATATTAGAAAAATATATTTGCATTTTTTTTAACTTACCAGAGAAGGCATGTTGGTCAGAGTAAAATGAGGGGAGGGGATGAAAGAAATTTTAAGGAGTATTTAGTTAAAGGGGAGGAGAGGAATTTTACTTCCTTGCTTGGTTTGAAAAATTGAATAGAATTCTCCTCTCTCTCCTCTAACCAAACACTTCTTAAAATTTCATTTGCTTGTTTATCATTACACTTTGATTTCGTCGCATCTGTCTGCATTGCAATATTTTTAGAGAATAACGACTTCAACTATGTATATCCATAAATGCATTTAAAATCTGTTCACTTTTGATTCAGCATTTTGTTAGCATGCTTGCGAGCATTTAAGGATGTGTAGTTTAAAGGAGGAATTGATAATTTTGGATTCAAATCCAAAAATTCTTTTACATGGGGGAGGTGGTGTTGTTGTTATGACAACCAATCATTGACAGCAATCCCTTCATATAGTGTTGTCTTGTGCCATCAATTAATTGAAAGAATTTTTACAAATATAATTTATGTTATAAGACCATACTAATCAAACAAGCTAACATTTATTATATTTTATATTATGACTAGTTCATTATATTTGTCAATGATATATTATTGTATATCAATGATAAAATTTTAGTAAGTTTTTAAATTTTTAATTATAAATATCTTGTACATTAATTATGAACTTTTTGTATTATCAATATGAATCAACCACATTATCAAATTTTAAAAAATTGATTCATATTTTTGGGCATAGTTTTTTTCCTACTAGTGGGCTTATTTATCCTTAATTAAATAAAATTAACGATACCAAAATATATGCTCCTTTCATTAAAAAATATAAGACATTTTTAATCAAATCTCACCCCTTAATAAAGTAGTTACATGTTTTTAAATTAATCTTATTTTTTTTATATTATCTCTATTAAATACCCTATAATAAATATAAAATCATTATTAATAGGCACACTTTTAAAAAAATAATGATTACACCTCGAAAATATTTTTTAAACAAAGGGAGGGAGGGAGGGAGGGAGGGTGTGTGTGTGTGTGTTTAGCAGCAAGATCAACATAGCAGCGCAAAGGCCAGTGGAAATTTTAAATTTAATAAAAAAATAGCCAGCCTTCAAATTCTTCAGCCGCTGTCAAGACTGGAGCGCCTGAGCAAGATGATGAAAGAAATAAAATGTTGTTTAGATATTTTAAATTATTTATAAAATTTACACATTTATTTTCTCTCGTCGTCTAAATATCTTTCATGTATGTGTAGAGTCGAGAAAACGGCTTGAATCCACAGGTTAGTCCGTTTAACCCATACAATTTAATGAGTTGAATTGAAAAAATTAGCCCGTTTTAAAAAACTCAAACCATAAAAATAGCGGGCTAAAATGGGCTAGCCCTCAGGCTAGCATATTTTTTAAAAAATAATTTTTTATTTTTTAATTATATTATATTTTTTTTATAAATCTACAATAGTAATAATATTTTTTAAATATATAATTATGACTTTTAAATATGTTCTTTACATTTGAAATATAATATAAATTTATTTTATAATTTTTAAATAAAATTTTTATTATAGTTTATGAAGATGATTTATTAATTTTTATAAAAATATTTTGAATATATATTATTTATTAATCTCATAAGATCTATTGATTGAAATTATAAATATGAATTCATTAAGAAAAATAATATGGGTTTATATTTAAATTTTCTTTCTTAGTAACAAAGATAGCACACCTAGGCGGAAGATGATTAATAATAAAAATCTAGCAAAATGAATTTGCTTGATTGAATTTTATATTTATTTTATTTATTTATAGGTTTTTTAATTGCTAATTTGTTTTAAATGTGAAATAAATATATATATTTATATTGTATAAATTTTAAATTTTAAAAAATTTGATAATTTTTTGCGGGCCAGCCCACAGGTTGACTAGTCCACTAGAAAATGAGTTGGGTTGAATTTTTCAGCTCATTTTATCTGGTGGATTGGCCCAATCCTACCTGCAAAATTGTCAGCCCGCGGGCCGCAATTCATTTGTCCAGTACTATGTACCCATATATACCATGTTCGCTTATATATATTCGATATAAACATGTTCATTCAATTTTTTGTGTTGATAATAAAATTTAAACAGCAATAAAGATGTACATAATGAGATGGGAATAAAATTTAAAATTGTCTTCTTTTTCTTTGAATCAATATATCTCTGTAATAAATCGTTTTTCGCGGAGCATTATTCGAAGTATGTGTTTCAGAATCTGCTGGTAAGTATTGATATAATTTCAGTAAAAAATACGAAACACGCCAAAATCTAGTCTCTCATGTTAATTATTTTTTCCAAACTACCCCCCTGTCGATACTTCCTCAACAATAATGAAATGCAGCCACGTATTTTAAGAAAATCAAGACACGTTTTTTTTAACAATAAACTAATTTACTTAATCTCCTCTGCCATACAAATTAGCTAAGCAACCCATACATTTACTATCGAATGGAGCATTAACAGTATATTTATGAGCAGCACTAACTTGCAAGGAAGTGAAGCTGTAAAAATATGAAATATTACCCAATTCCAAACATAAATTTTGGTTGAAAAGAAGACGAGGGGGATCCATATTTAGTTCCGTTATGAATGGGGAGCGACTGATTGAAAAAAAAGAAATAAAAGTTTTAAGAATCAAATTTCCAGATCCTTGTACTGTATTATTAGATAAACTTTATTTGCGGTAAGACACTTACATCTAAACAATCTGAACAATTAAGTTGAATGAATGCATGGCGTTTAAACCACGCAAAGCAGAACGAAGAGTAAGTAAATAAAAATGTGAAGTGAGAAGGGGGTGAGAGAAGTGGGGGGCACAAAATGTATACAAGACGGGGAACAGAGTATTGGGTGGATCTAGAACGAGGAAGAGGGAGGTCGTACGTATAGTCGTATACTATGGTTAAGGGTCTCCCACCAACCCCAGCTTATGTAGCGTCCCTATTTACCCCTCGTCCACGTCCATCGTGTCCCCAATTCGTTACTTCATTCTTTCTACCGTCCCTTAATTTCTCTTTCGTTCCTCTTTCCATATTCCAACATTAATAACTTCATTTCCTTGCACTCTTTCCGCTCTCTCCCAGCCACCACCACTCGATCCTAATTATACTGGCATTTTATTTTCATCTTCGTATATATGACCAGCCCTTGAAAGTAATTAGACTATTGGATAATCGCCGAGTCTAGATCCCGCGTGGGAGCTTTAAAGAATTAAAGCACTCGTCATGGATCGCGTATATACAGAAAAAGGAAAAAAAAGCAAATAATGGCTTGGGAATGAATCATTTCGAGCAACAAGACGTGGTCAGTACCACGTACATATACATGATATTTGGATTCTTGCTTCCATCATTCTGGCATGTTTTTCATAAAGTAGGTCCGGCTCCGTATTTCTTTAGGTGCAAAATCAAATAATCCGGACTTTCCGAGCCAGCTTTGCGGATGTAATCGCATTTAGCTAGAGGTTTCGATTATCTGGTTGACCAGAAGAGATGGAGCGAAGTTGACGTCGAGTGAGGGAAACATCAAACGTGATGACCCGTTTCCAAGGTAAGCGAGGAAGAGTGATCAAAGGAAAAAGAAAAAATTATATTCAAATCTCATATAAAAAATTAATTATCATAAATTTTATTAACAATTGAACTAATACTACAATAATTCTGTTCAATTTATTAATAAATCCTGTATTAATTATTATTATTATTATATATTATTTTACGTCGATGAGGAGAAAATATCAAGTACAGTGAGGCGATTGTAGCTGGAAGGCAAGGGAGGCATACGAAAAATATGAATAAAGCAATGGGGTGGGACGTCCAATCAAAAGAAACCAGATAATGAGAGAAAGGCCAGGGGTGGGCCCCTCTGGTTCAGGAAGCTTCGGCCAGCAAGGATAGAAAAAGGCCGGAAAAGAAAAAAAAAAAAAAAAGTGAGTGTGCTTTCGGGAGCCGCTGATAACTAGTGATGAGGACAATGAGGGGTTCCTGAGAAACCACTTCTGGTAAACTTCATTGTCCTAATCGGGCAACCCGTTCACTGTTGGCGATTCCACCCAAACCCCACCACTCTGATTTGATGTCTCCTCTCTCTCATCATCGCCACAGGAAGAGGGCGTTTTCATTTCTCTTCACTCCATTTTTTTTTTCATTGCCTTTGAATTAAAACTTTTTTTAATTTCAAATTTAATTTTTATGAGATTATTATTTTAATTTTATGTAAAATTTATAAATAAAATATTATAATTTTAAATGATTTAGATTAAACTTTTAATAATTTAAATTTATTTA